GGGAGGAGGGCCGGCGGTGGCTGGAGGAGGGAGGAGGGCCGACGATGCGTGGAGGAGGAGGGAGGAGGGCTGGCGACAGCTAGAGGTAGGAGGGAGGAGCTCATCTAGGGCGTCGACGGAGGAGTGGAGGAGAAGGAGCTCTCAGACGATGACAATGCGGCGACGACGGGAGGAACACGGCGACGTACGGTGAGAGAGGGAGAGTGAGTGAGTGAGGAGGGGGAAAGACAAGCGGAGAGGATCTGGATGAGGTAGCCGTAGCACTAGCGCTTGTATATGATACACGCTACTACTATGATCAATAGCAGTAGCGCAGTTTAAAATAAGATGCTACTGCTATAAGTCTATAACTAGCTGGGGGCGAGGTCGTGTCAACTATAGCAGTAGCGCGGCTTACCGCAGACACGCTGTTTTTATTTTTATTTTAGCAGCGTGTTTTGTCGACACGCGCTACTGCTAAATAGCAGTAGCGCCTTATTTTAAAGCGCACTGCTGGTAAGATTCTGTGTATAAGGTTTTCCCCAGTAGTGTTCCTCCTCCGTGTTGCTCCGGAGGAAATCTCGGTCCCTGGATCAGGCGGTGCGGTACTTAGGTGACATGACCTTGTTGAAGGCTCCGCCTTGGAGTAATCGGTTCGTCGTGCACAGCTCCGGCTCTTCGCTGTGATTTGTTCACGGTTGAGACCCTCGGCGACTTCAAGCGGCGGTCTCTCTTCCTTCCTGTAGATGGCTTGGAGTTGTGTTGGGTGGTGTAGCTGTTTCCAACATTCTTGTATCTTGCCCTGTGTGTGTTGGTGTGGAGTTGTATAAGGTTAGTTGTAATTGGATCGTTGCTTTATATATAAAGCGGGGCGAAAGCCTTTTTCGATAATTGATGCCCACACACTCTCCGTTGAGATTCGTGCAACGGGATCGAACGTAGATAGAGTTCGGTTAGAAAAACCTTCTCAAAGCATGTTCGCTCTATAACATTTTCCAATAAAATTATAGGTGATACTTCCTCCGTTCCGAATTACTTGTTTTAAATTTGTCTATATACGGATGTATCTAGCACTAAAATGAGTCTAGATATATCCGTATCTAGACAAATTCAAGACAAGTACTCCCTCCGTCCGAAAATAGTTGTCACCAAAATGGATGAAAAGAGATGTATCTAGAACTAAAATACATCTAGATACATTCTCTTTTATTCTTTTTAATGACAACTATTTTCGGACGGAGGGAGTAGTTTGGAACGTAGGGAGTACTTTTAGTAGTATAGGGGTGTTTTCTTGGAAGGGTCCACATGTCAGAATAATTTGCCCAATGAAAAAAGGAAACCGAGGCTATTTTTGTCCAGCCGGTAAGAGCACGCGAGGAGGGAGGGGGGCGGGGGCGGATTTATTGCTCGATATTTCGCGATTTCTCCTGCGGCCAGCAGATCTGTTCCGATCCGACCCCCGAGGGCAGGTAACTCCCGTCTCCCTCCCTCCCTCCCTCCCTCCCCTTTTTACTCCCAAATCGATTTTTCTTTCCACGCAACAAATCCGCCTCCGCTTTCCCCATTTTTCCTGCGTATTTTATTGAGTCTCGATTTCCTCGATTAGTTTTTGAAGCGCAGAGGTGGTTCACGTTCACGTACAACCGCCGCCAACCGCGCGCGCGCGCTGCCCGGAGCGACGACGCGCGGCGCGGCCCGGCCGAGGAGAGCGCGTCGGATTCGTGGGGTGCCCTAGGGTTTCGCCGCGAGATGGACGGCCGGGATCAGCCGCAGCAGCAGCAGCAGACGCCGACGCCGCTGCCGCTGCCGCTGCCGCCGCCGCCGCAGCAGCAGACGCCGGCACCGCCGCAGCAGCAGACGCCGCGCGTGAGCTCGCCGCCGCCGGTGGCCCCCGGCGTCATGATGCCGCAGCACGCCTACGGCGCGATGCCGCCGGGCTCCGCGAGCGTCATGCACGGGATGCCGCTCGCCTTCAACCCCATGGCGTCGCCCGGCGCCTCGCAGCCGGCAATGAAGCCCGCGGACATGCCGCCGCTCGCCATGTACCGGCCCGATTCCACCCCGCCGGGCATGCCGCAGCCCGTTAGCGGTGGCGGTGGCGCCCTGGTGGTCAGCGTCAGCGGCAGCGGCGGCGGCCGGGAGCTCGTGAAGAAGAAGAGGGGAAGGCCGAGGAAGTATGGGCCGGACGGGACCATGGGCTCGGCGGTGAAGGCCGAGGCGGGCGGGCAGTCTGGTGGCGCGGGCTCCAACTCGAATCCTGACGGGAAGCGCAGAGGACGGCCCCCGGGATCTGGCAAAAAGAAACAGCTCGATGCCTTAGGTAATTCTGGCCGCACCCGTGTTGGTTCACATCTGAATTCAGAAACATCAGTGTTCACTCAGCAGCAGCTTGTGCTGAATAAAAGCATGTACTATATGTCTTTCTACATGTTTTCCACCATTAACTTTGTAAGGATTTCTCCACATTGCAAAGGAATTAAATAGGACGCCATAGTGCAGGCATTTAAACAATGTGGGAAGTACACCTCTGCTTCATGTTAGTTATGCACAGAGCACTCATGTAATATACTCCCTCCGTCCACAAATACTTGTCGGAGGAATGGATGTATCCAGACGTATTTTAGTTCTAGATACATTCATTTTTATGCATTTCTCCGACAAGTATTTCAGGATGGAGGGAGTAGAAGTGAGCTCACTGTAAAGGAATATTCTTCTATGGGTTATTATTATTATTTTGCTCATTTTTCTATCATGTCACAAACTGTGTTTACTTTTGAGTTTTGCAAGATAAAAGGGTGGTAAATATTCTGGCAATTCAGTTAATTAAAATTATCCTTCCGGGCAATATTGGAGTATCATGTTAATCGCAGTTTATGATTTTGATTATAATTTGATGGGCTTCTTTGAACATTTTTTTGTGCTGACTATGATATTTCGTTTACTGAATTGTAGGCTCAGCTGGGACATCATTTACTCCTCACATAATTACTGTCAAGCCTAATGAGGTACTCTACTTGAAAAGTGCTCCCTCCTCTCTGGTGTCTATTCGCGTGGTCTGGTTGTTCCTAAGTTGCTTTTGGACATTAGTTGTGCGGTCAGGATCGAGTAGATTGCCCTGCTGGCTACCGCTCTTGGTTGAGAACAGAACCTGTCAGCATTATATCATTCATGAGCATACTGCTTTACGTTGAAATTAATTACTTCCATGGAAGAGCTAAGAACAGAGTGCATATTATGTGGCTCCTGGTACAAACAGCAAGAAGTAAATCATAGCACTGAGTGGACCCTTGAGCATCTTTTGAATATTTTATCCTCTTGACTTCTGTTTTCTTGCTACAAGTTTCGGTCTAACCATGGATTCCATGCCATTACTGCATTTATTAAAGTACATAGTATCCAACTTGAACTTGCTGCTGATCCACAGGATGCATGGCACAATTCTTAAAGGATGGCCTTACAAAACTAGAGAGTATGAGTAATAAATAACTGTCGGTTCTATCTTAGGCTGTTAGTTCCCATTCTCCTGGCATTATTTATATACCTGTCATTATTCCTTGCTTGTCCCTTGCGTTCAGACTATGCTTTACTTCTACCTCACCGTGGGCGTTTATGCTTTAAATCATCTTGTTTGCAGGATGTTGCTTCGAAAATAATGTCTTTTTCACAACAAGGCCCACGTACTACATGTATAATCTCAGCAAACGGTGCGCTGTGCACAGCAACACTCCGTCAACCAGCAACCTCTGGTGGCATAGTGACATATGAGGTACGTCAAGGCCCAACTTGCTAAGATCTCAGAGGCATTATTTGATTTTCACTTCTCGTTATTTTTGTGAAGTGGTAATGATCAGGTTCTAAGACCTACTCCCTCTGTAAACTAATATAAGAGCGTTTAGATCACTAATTTAACAATCTAAACGCTCTTATATTAGTTTACGGAGGGAGTACATAGCATCACAGCTCTCAACGGACCTATGATTTGGTCGTGTTCTAGCATATAATTCTGTAGCCTGCACTCTGATGGCCTATTGTTGACTGAATGTTTACTTGTTACTCCCTCGGTCCCGAATTACTTGTTTTAGATTTGTCTAGATATAGATGAATCTAGACATGTTTTAGTGTTAGATACATCCGTATTTAGAAAAATCTAAGTCAAGTAATTCGGGACAGAGATAATATTTAGGAGTAACAATTAAGCCTATACGGTCGATTTACTGAATGTTCATATTTCTGCTAAATTCTGTTTCCGTTACTTCCTTGTTTTGCTAGTACTGTCAACAGTGTCTGTGAGCCAAATATGAAGTTTGTTTATCTTCTTGTGTGTTCTTGTGAACGTTTTCTAATATGCAGTTAAGTTTACTTCCCAGCTTGTCAAGTTACATGAAAACATGTCGGAAGATTTAATCTGTTCTCATTCTCCCATCTAGTGCAACTAACTATTTATGTTAAAGGCACCAGGTTTTCTAGACCCTGTGATAGTTTATTGGTTCCTTCATGTGGTCAGACTACAGAGTCACACCACATTACTTAATATTATTGTAATGCAATGTCAGTTTTGTGTCATACAAAGTCATCAGTTTGTAAAAATACACTGAATACCTATACTGTTATGTGTCACAGGGCCACTTTGATATTCTCTCTCTGTCGGGCTCATTTCTGCTGGCAGAGGATGGTGACACTCGTAGCAGGACAGGTGGTCTGAGTGTTGCTCTGGCTGGAAGCGATGGGCGTATTGTAGGAGGTTGTGTTGCAGGAATGCTTATGGCTGCAACGCCTGTCCAGGTTTGCCATTCGTCTGACGTTCTTTGCACTTTGTTGTCAACTGGCATCTCTGCATCCAAATTAGGCCATCGGTGACAGATTTCCATGTTGTGTTTCAGGTTGTGGTGGGCAGCTTCATCGCCGAAGGTAACAAAAAGCCCAAGGAAGAACAACCAAAACGCGAGCCAACATCTGCGCCGATGCTAACATCTGCGCCGATGCAGACGGCTGCTGGCTTCGGTGCAGCCTCAGCTGCTGCTACGCCATCAGACGGAACATCAAGCGACCACTCTGATGACCCAGGGAGCCCTATGGGACCCAATGGTAGCGCGTTCAACAATGCAGGCCATCCGACACACGCTTCATATGCTCCTGTGGGCTGGTCACTCTCCGGGAACCAAGGCCGCTACGACCCAGACATGAAGATGGTGACCGACTAATGGCTCCCCGATTTGCAGCAGCTTTATTCTCTAGTATTTGACCTAGTAGAGTGTAGGGTTTCCTGCACCGGCGCCAGCGAGTGATTGTCGGCCAATAATCCGGTGTGCTAGAGGTAGTCGGAGGGCCTTCCGTGGAAGGCCTGAGGAGCAATAATAAGTAGCATCGTCTTGCCCTGTTATTGTTGCTTTTAGTTTGTATCTCTTATCCGCTTTCGCAGTTAGTAGCTTATGCTTGGAGTTGTTATATCCTAATCAACGGTTTCTATTACCCATGAATTTGTATTTCAGTCTAGTATCTGCATGCACCAGTTTTGAATGCCATATATTTGTGTTATCATTGTCTAGCTTATTAATTCAGAGGGCTGGATGGATATATACTTCGGGAATTACTGGGGTCTAAAAGAAATTCAACATCCATTTTGGACGGGTCGTTCTTACGACGGATGGCTTTATTACCGTGTTATTCAGATTCCATAGTCAAGCCATTATTCACTAGTTACTCTTCTAAATCTCTCTCTATATATAAGCCTTCCACCCCATCAGTACCCTAACGTAATTCTTCACGCCCATGATTCCATGGTTCCATCTGTAGCAACTGCGGCCGTTTGTTCGGAGTAATTTTTTCTTTTGGAGAAATGTTCATTGTAACTTCTCAGACGGAAGGCATTGTTGTTCATTCAGATCTGTGGGTAACATGCCATGGCAGAATGGCAGAAGGTACCATTCTATGATGGCTCACTAGCTCGGCATACAGGCACACACGCACTTATATTCAGTTTATTCTCCCACGATCACTCCTTTCCTCGCCTTTCCCTCGCACGATCCCATGGTCGGAACTCTCTCACGCATGCTTGGATGGCGACTGCGGCGCTTAGCGCCACGATGGTGTAAGCTGCAGAATTACCAACGTACCAGATTCATTGAAAAAAAATAGCGCATTATAGCAAAAAATAGCGTCATACTTAAAATTCGCTATTAATGCGCTATGGTGCGCTTCACATTGTACACTGATTTATTTAGCGAGTTATTCTCCAGCACGCTATAGTGTGCTATTTTTCTTCACTAATGGAAATTCCAATAATAAGCATAACAAAGCATGCTTACTCACGCTGGAGTCGGACGTACAGCGGACGAGCTTCTGGGCGTTGATGATCTGCGTCGGCAGCGGCGAGTACGTGGCGGCAGATGCAGGGCATGTCCACCACCGTCATTTCAGCGCGGGTGTCCGGGCGCACGTAGGGGGGCCTCCTTCTTGATGCTCTTGCCGCAGATGAGCAGGGGCGGGGCTGGAGCTAATTTTACCATGATGCACCACTTAACCATGGAGAAAAATTTCAAGCATGGTTGCATTAAATAAAGGTGCCTTTCATAGCTTGTAATACGAATTACCAAACATAATAGAAGTTGATTTATAAAACAAAATGCAATAGTCAAACTGCTTAAAATAATGCCAAAACAAATGACAAAATTACTTGAAAAGGTTTAGCATTCTCAATTAAAACACATCATCACATATAATGGTTCATTAACCTACAATATAAAAGCTAGAATCAAATTTTCAAGTAGAACATAATAAAATGCCCAAATCAAAGTACTTAAATTTGCTAAAATTTAAAAAATTTACCTTTGGTATAATCTATTCCTCCGAGCCATGAAATACTCAACCACGTGATCATTGATGACCTTTTCTATTTCTTCTTTCTCCACATAACAAATAGCATCATCACTTAATATTTATCAATTTCCTTTTGCCTGGATCATATTGAATCTCCTCCTCCGAATTCATGTCTTCTGGAGCATCTTGTGATGGTGCATTTCTTTTTAGAAGAAACTGTCCATTATCTGCATTTAACAAATAAGATATCAAAAATTATGAAGCCAATGAAGTATATCTAATTACAAGTTAAAACAATAGCTAATGCTTGACGTTTTGCCCAAACACATACTCCCTCTGTCAAGATATATCAGAACATTTTGATCACTAAGGTAGTGATCTAAATGATCTTATATTTTCTTTATGGAGGGAGTACAATTAAATCTAATTAAATAAGATTTAACCCACTAGCCACAATTTCAAACATACAATTGTTGCAACCTAAAAATATTTAGGACAAACAACATAGAAAAGGGTTAAATTCGAACCAAGAGATAATGTAATCTAGAGAAAAATAAATAAATATACATTGCTATTTTGCTAAAGGAGAGGAAGAGAAAATTATGACGTGCCACGTGGTCGCAAGGGAGGCACATGGTCACTGCAACATTAAGCGTCATTCGGATCGATGAGGAACATATCCGTGCTGCACTAGGCCAAAGGGCCCGGTTTCCTTCCCTCAACTGGTTTTTTGTGTGTGCTTCCTTCTTTTTTTCAGTTTCCATTTTTATTTATTGAATTTTAGGAATATTTTTAAAAAATTTGCACATATTTTTTGAATGCAATACTTTTTTTCTAATATGTGAACAGTTGTTTTTCCAAATTTTGGAACTTTTTAAAATTTGACAATATTTCTAGAATTTTAGGAACATTTTCCAAATTAGTGAACGTTATTTGAATTTATGTAACATTTCGAAATCTGAGAAAAAAAATCAAATTCATGAATTTCGTAATTTGAAGAATTATTAAAATTCTTGAACATTTATGAAATAGGGGAGAATTTTTCAAATTCATTAAGGTTTTTTAAATCCAGGAACAATTTTCCAAGTTTTTAATAAATTTTCAAATTCTGTTTTTCTTAAATGTGAGACCAATTTTTCAAATTCACGAACATTTTGAACTCCGGAAAAATATTTCAAATTGTGAACATTTTTTAAAATTCTTGAGCATTTTTAAAATTCATGAATATTTTTTGAAATTCGGTGAAAATGCAAAAAATAAAGGAAAAATAAATAGAAAATAAAAAGGGGGAAATAACAAAAAAGAAAGGAAAAACATAGGCTCCTGGTACATGGCTCGACCCAAAGTGCGCGCTGGGCTGGAGGGGTTGGAGGTTATCCTCCAACCCGCGCAATCGCATTGACTAGTAGGTCTTGGATGGTGATGTAAGAACCAGAATTTAAGATAATGTGATGAGTGTATGTCAACACGTGTATGGTTCTTTTTTACATCATCGCTCATGTACGATTTCATTTCACCTACAAATTGTCGAATTAGACATACCCCAGGCTGGGCTAGGTTTTGGGCTAGGTTTAACAAAGCCCAGGTGAAAATACCAAACCCGAGCCTAATTCAAAACGGCTAACCAATGTTTTGTTTGGTTAAGTTTAATCATTTTGGGGATACATATTACTATAACTATTATTTACACAAAATATTAGTTTTAGCCATTCTAAAGCTCGCCAAGATAGGATTCAAGTGAAAGCTGAGCCCGTGCTTCCGCCTGTCGTGTCTCTCGGGCATCCAATTCTCGTGTTCCAAGCTCGTTGACCACCTCGCGGCGGCCGATGGCGGCGGCATGTTGTCGATGATCTGGGCCGCACCGGATAATGAACCGAGTGTGTGGTGGAACGGGTGGAGAACCGGTTATAGAAGAAAAAATAGTCGAAGTGGAGCACCACATGTGCCATGATACGTGGGACCATGTTGACTGAATGTGCACAAATTAAAGGTAAAATATGGCACACATTTATATTTAATAAATGAACTAAAATGAATGAAAATCCATTATATTGGCTAATTCGAATTCATCTGTATAATTCATAAAATTGTTGAAGTCTGAAATTCCAGTCTCTTGGCTGTTTCATGCTTTCTCACATGATTAATCAGAGTAAAAGATGGCATTTACTCATTAATTAAAGAACGCCACCACAAACATAAGCTCACAAAGTAATACTTGAACCTATATCGATGTTCACTTCGCAATTAACCATACATTTTGCACAGAGAGCACACACTGTACAGTGTTTATTTTTAACATGTACTCCCTCTATACATCATCTACATCCCATCAATGTAGTATTTTGTGCTGTTGAGTTGATTCTGCCCGCATCCGGGCAACAGCATCTTTAATTTGGGCGTCCAAAATGTCCCAAGACCAGTCACCAGATTCCAGGTCTTCATCTTCACATTGCAAACTTACCGTTTCTGGAGGATTGCTTGCGAGCTTGTTCTTGTCGCGTGGTATCCCTGTTGGTCTTCCAAGGTATTTGGAGAAGACAGTTGAAAGTAGGGGCACATTAGAAAAGAAGTTATTGTGATCTTCCACATCGCAGTCAGCATGGTATGGCTGTTGATTGATATATTTAGAACATGACCGTAGATATGCGTAGTTCATGTCAACCATGATCATCCACGGCTGTCCAGAAAGTTGCGCCTCGTCCCTCAACAGGCAGCACACGGCATCCGGATCCTCGGCGCAGATGACCGGGAACTCGGGAAGACACCGACCTATGCCCAGATCTTGGTAACCACGTTGCGCCCAAGAGACAATCCAGGTTGATCACGCGATGTATCTTCCACTCAAACTTGGAGTTGCCATCCCTCATGTTCAAAGTCCATATGGTGATCTTCTGGGGAGGCTGCTGCTGGTGCTGCCCCTGGCTTCTCTCAAGACGCTGACACGAGCCATCGTAGTCATTGTCAATGTGGACGAAGCGTATCATGCCTTGGTGGACAGACACACTTCGGTATCTCGACGCTAAGCACCTTGAGACTTGTACCAACTTGGAATACTCCGCCGCTCCAGGGAAACGCACGAACTGAAGCACCAGGGACTCTAGGTTGGAGAAGTCACACAGCAGGGCGCCGCTCAAGTAGTCGACCCAGCAGAGGAACCGGCGGTCGAACGCGAGCACATCGTCGGTCGACCAGAGGATCTCGTTTTGCGGCTCGAGGAAGCACTCCCACTTTTCCGTCTTGGAGTCGAAGACGCAGAGTTCGGCGAGCATGGAATAATTTTCAGAGGCCCCCTTTTTTTCCGGGTGGACCTCGAGGTTGGAAACGATGTAGCGGTCGTCGGCGAGCCGCAGGATGCCTGTGGCGGAGTTCGACTTCATCGACGGCCGTTCCCTGGGGCCAGTGTACAGAGGGAGCCGCTGCACCGAGGGGGAAGGACCGGCCGTGTAGACGAACAGATCTGACGGCGAGTCGTAGGAGCGACGCTGGCTCGGGATGGAGATGTCGAAGAGGACGAGGTCCTCGTCGGTTGCCCGGACGTAGGGATACGCGGGCGGGCGGGCTGTAGCGGTCCACGGGCTTGGCTGAGCCTTCCGCCGGCCAGTCGAGATCGAGGTAGGAGATCCCTTCTGGACGATCCGAGCAGGCGAAGGACAAGCAGCAGCGGTGGCCGGTGGCCGTCACTACTTCAACGGCGGTCTTCTTCTTATTGGCCGCCTCACGAGCAGCGTCTAGGTCGGCGTGGCTGTAGGTGCGGCCGAAGCGATCCAGCATCACCCAGTCGGGGAAGACGATGGTCTTCTCCTCTGGCTCTGGCGCGTGTCCGGTGGCCATGGCGGTCGGGATCGGATCCACAACCCTAACCCTAGGTTGGTCTTTCTATTTGGCGGCGGGGCTGACAGGGTAGAACCGATGGACGGGAAACAAGATGAACCCACAATCGTACCCTGTTAAGACCAACTCCAACTCCAACTCGTTTTATCAAAAAAAGAAAACCCCACGCATATGACCCAAACGGACGCGTGTATTATTCGTTTTTTGTCTGTTTTGGATTGTCCACTTTTTATTTCGGATGGACAGCGTCGTCCACGGATGGTCGGCGCATTTTTTCGCGAAAAAAAAACATGTGGCTGAATTTAACATAATTAAACACTAAACGGCGGTCTTCCATTTAAACATTAATAAAACACCAAAAAAAAACTAAAAAAGCGCCCACATGCTGCCCTAGTCCTTGTCATAGTTGTCATCGTCGTCGGTGAGGTCGACGAAGGTTGGCGGCGGCCCAACCCACGGGAATGCGGTCTCCCACGCCGCCCGCGCCGATTCCTCCGGCATCTGCTACGCAGCTGCATTGCTACGCCGCGGGCGCGATCCTCCTTCTTCTACTCGCGGCGCTCTCCCTCCTCCTCCTCCCGTGCCGAGCCGGCCCGTCGCTCCTCCTCCTCGAGCTCGTCCTGCATCTGGTGCTCACCGTCAGCCCACTCGTCCATCAGCCATTGTTGCCTCCATTGCTCGAGGTAGGCCGCCTTCTCCTCTGGCGGCGTGTCCATGTAGATGGCTGGCGCCTCACCCACTCGCAGACAATGACAGTCCACACATACATATCTGGAGCGCGCTCAGTGGGCATCGTGGGCGTGCACGGGGGCATGGGCATGCGCGTGGCGTGTGCTAGGGCTCGAGGGCAGGCGGCGGTGGTGGGGCCTGGGGTAGACTCAGTTCCCCGCCGCTGGCAGCACGAGGGCCTCTTCTAGGCCGTCCCAGCGCGCGTCCTCCTCGAGCTGGCTCTCCTCCAAGGCACGCTGTAGTGCTGCCCCCATTACGGGCCGCCGCCTCCTCCTCCTCCTCCTCTGGCGCGACCTTCGGGGATGGCGACATGAAGCCAGGGTTGAGCTGCATGCCGCGGCGACGGGCCAGGTTGTGCTCTGTCACAAACCAGACCTCCCAGTTAGGGGAATCAATCGCGTAGGCAGGGAGGCACCGCTGCTCCAGTGTAAGGAGGGCGTGCCAGCATGCACCCGCGGCGACCGTGGCACTACAGGCATGAGGATGCAAGCCGTGGGGTAGGTTGACATCCGGATACGGCAGCGGCTGGCGGTACTGTTAGTGCCAGCACGCTTGGTGCACTGGGATGTACAACCTGTCGTGTGGGTTGCCGCATGGAGGAGGTGGCGGAGGAGGAAGAGGAGGCGCGCGGGACGAACTGACACTGGCGTGGAGCTTCTCATTAATTACCCTTGCGAAAGAAACCCATGGCTAGGGTTTTGCTGTCGTCGGTGAGGGGGGCAAGCTTGGCCAGATGTGGACGGGGGAGGGGAAGTGGATGAGGCCTACCGCCCCCGCACACTTGCATTAAAAAGGCCTGGTGCTTCCAGCCACTGCCATGCGGGCCCAAGGTAGGTGGCCGTGTTTAATACGATCGCAGGCAGTGGTTGTGCCACCGATAGGTGGGGCCGTGACGGACACTGAACGGACGCGCGGGGCGTCTGCCTCGAATCCGCGTGGACACAAACCAAGCACAAATTTGAGCCTAAAATGCGTCCAAACGGACATCGAGTGGACGCTTTTTGGGTTTGAGTTGGTGCGTTAGGTTGTTCTTTTGGTCCATTCCGACGCAAACGGACACGCGGGGATCATTTGGGTCGGCGCGTTGGAGTTGCTCCAACAACTGGGTCGACAACTAGCCACGACGGGAAACGAGATTGTGGATTCCAGTTTAACTGAACAAATTAACTCCGTTTATGAGAAAAATCAGGCCAAAAAACATACAAGTAATAAAAAGATAAAGAAGAGAAAGAAATTGACGTCCAGAAGAAGGCACGACCTAACTAGCAGACACAATAAAGACCAACGCCACGAGCGAAATAAGTAGATGTAGGGTGTCGTGGAGGAATATGCCGAGTTTATATCGTATTCACTTCGTTCCAACACAGGGTTATATAGATTTAGACAAGTAGATTGATATACTCTCGGGCATGCAGTTACCGGGGGCAAAAGAAAAACAGAAAAGAACCAGCATCGCTATCGAATTCGTAGCAATTTCAGTCGTTGTAATGGCTGCATGAAGAATACTAACTGTTTAGATGGAAGGCTTTTATTGTTACTATTATTATTATTGGGATCTCACGGTAACATGCCATGGCAGATTACATTACATTCTACGTATGACGATAGCTCACTAGCTCAGCATACACACGCACGCACGCACTTTATTTAGAGTAGTTATTCTGCCATGATCTCTCCATCTCCTTCACCGGCCTTCCTCTCGCGCGATCCCCATGACCGAAGCTCCTCAGGCATGCGCGGATGGTGGTGGCACCCGCCCCCCGATGGTGTAAGCTGCAAAAATTACGTGGTACGTGGATTAGACGAGTCCGGCCGTGGCAGTGCAAAACAGAAAAATGAATTATGCAAGATCTCTGCACACATAGCAAGCATGTATATATGCATGCATGCTTAGTTGCTTACTTCCGCATTTGCTCCCGACGGGGAGTTTGATTTTGCAGTCGTGGGCGAGGTGGACGAGCTTCACGGGGCTGACGGTCCGCTCGTCGGAGGCGGTGAGGACGCGGCAGATGCAGGGCATGTCGACCTTCTTCACCTCTTTGCTGCAGTCCGGGCTTGGGGGCGTGTAGAAGCCCTGCTTCTTGATGCTCTCTATGCAGATGCTCATGATCATGTCCTTCTCGTCGTAGCAGTCCTTCTCCCCCGCGGCGAGATGCGCCGCGAACCCCGCGAAGAGCGACGCAAACAGCAGGGCACGGAGTAGGCTGGCTCCGGTGCGGCGGCCCATCTTTGTTGCTTAGGTAGTGTGACGCTGCTGTGCTTGCGAGTGGTGTGCATGATGCTGGCAGTGGGAGCTCGTTTATATAGCAGGCGAGGATCCCCCGGTGCACGTACGATCGACGGAGTGGAGACTGGAGAGGTCGACGACCTACCTACCTGGTTGACGGCGGCGCTAGTTGCATTAAAACGGTGAGCGGCGACAAGAAAGATTAATGAGCTGAGATCTTCGATCGAACTGCCATTAGGCACATGTCACTTCATTGAATTCGGGTCTTGGTAGTGGGTGTAGTGAGCGCCCTGAGGCATCAGGGCCGTGCATGAACAGATGAACGCAGCTGCAGATGCTACTCGTACGGTTGTTCATGGAGGCAAGACAAAACCAACCCCTTCTTCCATGACGCAGTCACTGAAAAGAGAAGGAATAAATAATCAGCTATTCTAGAATCTAGATTAGCCTCCACCGTCGATGCACGAAAATGGCATCATGGCAGAACCAGTTAGGAGGCATCGCAGACAGTTCTATCGTGTATGTATGCCACCAACTTTTTTTGGCTCTTCAATGCAAGCAGGTCCCATTTAACATATAACTCCTGGTAAAAATCTCAAAGGCCATTAGTGATCGCCCATTAGTAGGTTACATCATCAGTTGTGTTGTAAAAACTCAAATCAACATCCGCAAAAAAAAAGTAAAAACTCAAATCAAGATAACGGGGATGACTATATACCCGCATATATTAGATTCTTTTCTTACATCTCTGCTCATGTCCGATTTGATTTCACCTACAGCAAGACACGATCATACCCCAGGGAGTGGATTTGGGCTGGATGTAACAAAACTCGGCTAGGCATACCAAGCTCGAGCACGAACCAGCCTAGATTGAAACGACAAAAAATTGGCGTTTTGATTTAATTTATTCATTTTCTGATGCAAACCTACATTATTGTTTTAAACTAAAAACGAGTTCCAGCAATTTGTGCTTTTCTGGGTTTCAAGCGGGCCGAGCCGAAGCCCAGCCTGGATGTCTTGCTTCGCGCTTGGTTTGTCTCGATGGGCTGCCCATACTCATGTCTTGGTCGACTTGCCCAATTGATTTTAGGCCACAAATTCCAATCTTTTTTTCGTTTCTTTTCATAGTATAGAAGGGGTGCGCCTATACTTCAGTTATAAGGAATGAAAAAAAAATCAAGCGTCTCTGCTTCTGAAAACACCGGATACCGGATACCACATTTTATATTAGTACTAAGAATATGTTTATAATGTTTTGACAAATATACTTGAATTGCAAAATTGGTTCATGAAAAAAGAAAGGTTGACGCTTTCGCATACAATGTCTATGCATTTTAAAAATATGCTCACGAATTTAAATAAAAAATCGTGATTTAAAAATACTCAAATAAAAAATGATATCATTTTAAATTAATTTTTATTTTATTTGAAAATTTTCAAAATAGGCAAAAAGGAAAAAAGAAGATGGAAAATAACAAAGATAAAATGATCAGAAAACGAAAATAAACTTAATAGAAAGGAAAAAAAGCAAAATTGAAAGTAAATAGGTGGAAAAAACTGGCAGAAAAGCAACAAGGACACACAAAAACCTAGGAATTCATTAACTACAAAAATAATCAACCAAAATGGGCCAACCCGAAGTCGCGGTAGGGTGCGTGTACACATGGCTTAGAGCGAACCCAAGCTTAGAATTGCCTGCATTGCTCTTGTAAATGGGCTAGGCCCAGTATGATGTATGGTCGCTAGCTGCTCCGTGCGAGCAGCAATGTACGGTTCGCTGGTTTTTCTCTATAAAAAAGCAAAATTGAAAGTAAATAGGTGGAAAAAAACTGGCAGAAAAGCAACAAAGGCCACAAAAACCTAGCAATTCACTAACTACGAAAAAATCAACCAAAATTGACAACCCAAAGTCGCGGTAGGTGGTGCGTCTACACATGACCTAGAGCGAACCCAAGCTTAGCATTGCCTGCTTCGCTCTTGTAAATGGACCAAGCCCAGTATGATGTCTGGTCGCTAGCTGCTTATTGCGAGCAGCAATGTACGGTTTGCTGGTTTTCTCTTTTATAAAATACAAATACAAATATTATAAAAACAAATTGCCCCTATTATATGTATTAAGAAATTGTTTCAAAACATGTTTTAAATATTTAAGATGTTACCAAACAACACTTTCGTTCCACTTATATATACAAAGACATGACAGAACCAATACATGGTAATGAGAGATCCTCTTGCAAAGCAGACCAGACATGGAACAAGAGTACAAGAGTGCCCACATCCTACCAAGCACCCGAGGCTATTGATTAAAGGAGAAACCACGCCTCCACGAGAGACCATCGAACATTGATGTACCACACACTAGTTGTTGCCGGAGAGGATCACATGCCCTCTTGCTTCTGACCACCAGGTGTCGAGCCTCCCTGTGGACAATGAGGACCGATAGGAAGCCGCCGGGACTGCCCATGCCAGAGCTGAAGGGGCACTGAGATATCATCCGAGCTTGCACACCGATAAGATGGGACCGGAGGGTAGCCGAGCTCCACGACGACGCCCCCAAGTGGGTGATAATGCAACACAGCGTCATTATTGCATCTGAAGGTATGGTCAAGGGTTTTCATTCGAGCCCTAGCACGGGGAGGGGAACCACAACAACACCCCCAAGAGAGACACGACACACAAATGCATCGACACAGCCAGTGCCGGAGCGCGGAGCTTTTGGTCGGAGTCTCACCACGGCACACCGAGGTGCCATGGTCCAAGTCCGTCGCCGCCACTCCACAATTTGGGAGCGCCACTATTGAAGCACCGCCACCTCCAAGATCCCGGGCGCCTCGTTCCTCGCTGTCAATGGTGGCAAGAGGGTGGGCGAGCAGGGGCCTCCCCTTAGCGATCGAGCGATGCTACATAATTAGCGATACAAAAGCAGATATTCTGTTAGAATTAATGGGCTAGGCCCATAGCAATTTCTGAAATCTCAAAGCCCATGTGTAAAATGGCAAGTGGTGGTGCTAAGTTTAGTCCCACCTTGGAAGTTGAAGAAGAGTTGGACCTCTTTATATAGTGGGTTCTCTCCACCACTCTAAGTGATGTGTGAGAAGAGAAAAGGGAAAGCCACACGCGCGCGCTCGCTCGCCTCGCCTGGCCTGGGCGGGGCGGGGCGGGGCGGCGCGGCGCGGCGCGGCGCGGCGCTTACATGCGACATGCGCGTGAATGGTCCGCCGAAATCCGGTCCGTCTCCTTGCAGGAGCGCAGCTTCCTTTTGCCGTTTTATTTTTTATTTTTTATGTCTTGGCAGACAAGTTTTGATTTCTTGTCCGGTAAGTATACGAATTAGAAACCAAGTCGGTTTGGGATTGTGGTCGCGACACAATACCGCCTCTGGTCCTAATATATATACAGCTACCGGCTGCGGCCAGAGACACACCGAAAAAACACCTAGGGTTTTGCCTCGTCTCACAACTTGCGCCGCCATCGTAGTCTACTCCATCCCAAACGCCGGCGTGCATCGGCGCGTGGGAGAGCAGGTCTCCGGAACCGTTCGTCTTTGCGATCCTGCACCGGGAGAGGACGAATTAGGTTTTTGGGAAGCGCTGTGCGCGACTGCTCAAATTCGTCATCACGGGTCGTCTTCCGTCCAAGTCGGGCGGTGCTACTCATCGTCGTACTCATCGCCGTCAGCAGCAGATCGTCGCCAACACCGTCATCAACACTGTCGCACCCATAATAGCTAACGATCAGTACGTCCAACATCCTTTGTTCATGTCTGTTTCTACAGCTATTGTTACGTGCTTGCTGCTGTTATGCATGTCTTGCTGTTCTTCTAGTTTGCTAGATTATTGCATGCTAGTATATCTTCTAGTCATGAATTATTTACTGGAATTAATCATGAACTTGCCTAATATTCCAACAATCCAAAAACCTAATTGTAGGCAATTTCCTGAGTTAACTATGGCTGGATTCGCTGATGCACTGAGGCCGGATAAGTTTACCGGTGTGCACTTTAAGAGGTGGCAGGTGAAAACCACGCTCTGGCTTACTGCTCTAAAAGTTTTCCACGCCAGTGTTGGTGCTCCAGAGGGAATGACCGACGAAGATCGGAGAAAATTCCAGGAAGCCAATACTATGTTTGTGGGATGCATTCTGAGTGTTCTTGCTGACCGTCTGTGTGATGTGTACATGCACATAAATGACGGAAAAATTCTGTGGGATGCACTGAATGCAAAATTCGGTGCAACAGATGCAGGCAGTGAACTGTACATCATGGAGAGTTTTCATGACTACAAGATGGTGAATAACCGTTCTGTGGTTGAACAAGCTCATGAGATACAGTGCATTGTGAAGGAACTTGAACTCCTTAAATGTGTTCTACCCGACAAATTCGTGGCTGGGTGCATGATTGCAAAGTTGCCTCCTTCATGGAGGAATTTCGCCACAACTCTGAAGCATAAGAGACAGGAGATATCAGTTGAAAATCTGATTGCATCTCTTGATGTTGAAGAAAAAGCTCGGGCTAAAGATACCACTGAAAAAGGAGGTGAGGTTCAGTCTACTGCTAACATGGTGCAGAGGTACCCACAGAACAAGAACAAAGGGAAGAACAAACCTGTTGTCAACAAGCCTACCAAGACTACTACCTTCAAGAAGAAGAAGTTCAACAAGGCTGAGCTAGAGTGCTATGCCTGTGGGAAGCCTGGACACTTTTCCAAGGAATGCCCTGAACATGCAGACCGCAGAGGGAAAACAAGCTCCAAGACTGTCAACATGGTGACCGCTAGCAATACTGATGGGTATGGTAATCTACCTATTGTGCTTTCAGTATTTCAATCATCTTCGTGGTGGATTGATTCGGGTGCTAACGTTCATGTGTGTGCTGACATCTCCCTGTTTACTTCTTATCGGGTCGCAAGGGATTCATCCATCCTAATGGGGAATGGGTCACATGCTTCTGTTCGTGGCATTGGCACGGTGGATCTGAAGTTTACTTCGGGAAAGATCGTGCA